CCAGCTTTTACTACCATGTAAACGCATCATCTACACACAAATCTGGGAGCTTCCGGAAGCGTAAAATGAGTCTCAGAAATAGTTGTGCACTCATAACCGGAAATGCAGTTTTGTGTGTGTGTACCAGGTGATTTGTGTGTACTTTTTCAACATGTATAGGCGTAGGAGAAGGTTTATTTTATTTTTAATGTTTACAAATCCAGTATTACACACGCACAGATATTTTGAGACTATTTTCACTCCATACTCCTGACCCACTGCCCAGCTGCTGGAGCCTCGTCTCCTCTCTGGTGAACTCCACCTCTCCTCTCCCCCAGAGGGCGACATGCTCCAGCAGGCGGCGCTCTCCTTGTGCTCTGTGCTCCAGCATCGTGTCAATAAGAAGTGGTGCTGTGAAGAGAACAACAGTCAGTCAGACTGAATGTTGAACATCAGCTGCTTTCTCCTGCTGGTTTAAACCTTGTTGGACAGATGGAACATTGGCTGTGGATTATTCTGGCTGCTCTTTTCTCTGGTAAGATACAAAGATCAACATGTTTCCTCCACATGGAGGAGAAGTCTGGAAAGCTGCTGATTGTTCTCCTTTAATCAATCATCTCTATTGATCCATCTCTTCCTCTGCATGTTCTGTTCTTCCCCAGAGTGTAAAGGAGACTCAGTGACGCAGACAGAAAGAGAAGTTGTTGCTGCTGCAGGAAGCTCAGTGACTCTGGGATGTACTTACGAGAGCAGTGTGAGTGTCACATTGTTCTGGTATAAACAAGAAGAAAACAGTTTCCCAAAGTACATGCTGAAGCAGCTGTCATCATCAAAATATAAAGCTCCAGATTTTGACAATGATAGATTTGATGCTGACCTCAATAAAGACGACAAATCCTTCAGCCTGAAGATCCAGGATCTCCGTCCGTCAGACTCTGCTGTGTACTACTGCGCTCTGCAGCCCACAGTGACAGGAAACACCAGAACCCTGTGCAAAAACCTGCAGTACTCCACAGCGGCCACTAGAGGGCCTCATAGATCAGGTTACATTAATCAAATTTTATTTGTATAGCGCATGTCAGCAGTGAGGCATTGCAAAGAGCTTTACATCATTAAAGACACAAAAACGGTCATGCAACATTGAATCATCAAAAACATTAAATTAAGTCAATTGCCGTCATCAAATTCATAATTGATTACATTTCAAATACAACTGAAAACAGGTGGGGTTTTAGTCGAGATTTAAAGGAAGTCAGTGTTTCAGCTGTTTTACAGTTTTCTGGAAGTTTGTTCCAAATATGTGGTGCATAGAAGATGAATGCTGCTTCTCCTCGTTTGGCTAATGAGCTGCAGCTGCTGGAACCAAACTAACCTGAAGCAGCAGGATCTCCACCTGGTTCCTGTCCAAAAGTTACAACTGGGAGAAGTCAGTGGAAACCAGTGGAACCAGTTTGGATGATCAGAGTTAGGAAACCCACCAGCAACTGTGTTAGAGATAAACGACCATGTATTTTTTTTTTTATTGTTTTACTGATTATTTATTTGTTCTTACCTCTAAGGTGAACTTGGGTTTTAGAAAGGTGCTTTTAAATAAAATGTATTTTTATTATTATTACTAAGCCAAGGTAAATGCTGCAAAGGCCTATTGTAATTGTCATTTTTTTATTATTACTCCATCCCCTAAAGTGGCCTTCTGGAGACCTTAACATATTCAAAAACTCACCAAACTTCATCCACAATCGTTCCCCATGTGAAATTTTCAGACTCCAGTGAAATCAAAAGTTGGTGTGGCCAAGCTGCTCTATAGCGCCCTCCGACCTGAGAAGGACAAACCGCACATCATAAAGATCTAAATTTCAGTATGTAGGTATGTCCCCCCAAATCAAGAAAAAGTTTCCTGGAGGTGTGTCCTAAAATGTAGCTGGAGCAGGGCCGCCCCAGGCTCCATGGGGCCCCAAGCTAAATTAGGTTTTGGGGCCCTCTAGTTCTGCCAACAATGTGGACGGCTGGAATCAACAGACGATTAGATCATTCACACACCTGCTATAAACTTATTCCATCTCTGCTGGTGCTGATTGCATTATACCCTATGCATTTATAATATAGGGTACATTTATCAGCAAGTTGATTTCCAGATTAATTTTGGGGGATCATGATCTGCTGATACTTACATGTGAAGCTGATCTTTATAACTCAGTCTCTGTCCTCTTCTGCTCTGCAGTGAGAGGTTTGACTGGCAGACCAACAGGTCTGAACCTTTACAGTTAACAATGTTCACCCACTGTGGAAACTCAGTGACTTTCTTGCTACATTTAGCAACATTTCAGACAAAAAACTTCATATCAGCCAAAACCAAAATCAGCAGCTCAGGCTTTTTAAAGATCGGTAACCAGGAATCGGCCAGAAAACTGCAGTCGGTGCAGCTCTACACACATTCATGACATTCTGTGATTAAATTCATTTATCTAAAATGTAACTCCAATAACTAAACGTCATTTATACCAGGTGAGTCTTTCTCCCCTGAGAATCTGGACCGGTACCGGTACTGGACTGATTCTGAGCCTTCAGATGTTAACAGAAGTTTCACTTAACTTAGAAAAATAATGTTTGTTTTATCCACAAAAAGCTTCTGATCAGCAGCAAACAGCAAATCCCAACTACAGCACAGAGCAGCTCATCCATGTAGCCTGACGTAGAAACATTTAGCTAGACAAAGTCAGACACTGAGAAGTTTTAATTATTGTTATCAAACTCGGCGTTTTGAAGCCAAAAATACCTCAGAAATATACAGAACCACCATGAGAATCAACTCATTTAAAGTTAAACTCAGTTTCACACAGAGAGCCTAGCATAAATGTCTGGCTGTTGAACTGGACCGGTCCAGGTCGCTATCAGGCTAATTTCTACTAGCAGCTTTTCTAATCTTTACATCACCAAGGCTCATTAAAACAAACCTTTATCTGGGCTGTTTTCTGTTCTTCCTCTTTCTTCTCTCCGTCCTTGAAGGTTAAGTCCTTTTTGAGACATTGTTTTGCTAACTTAGCTTCTGACCGGAGCTTTGGACGTTTGGACACGAAGCTGAAGTTGGTTAGCTTCCAATAGCTAAAGGGCGATTCCACTACTTTCCGCATCTTTAATCAACTCTAGTTTAAAAACTACTACACCTAGAGACTTGAAACCTGGACTAGATTATTCTGCTCTAATAGCAGAATATTTATAACCATGTTTGGGATTTGTGAAACTTTTATCTGATTTGTGAAAACTCAAAGTTCGATAATCACCATTTTTGGCACCTCTTTCATTCCTACAACTGCTCTAATTAAAAAACTACAACTATAGTTACCAATCCAAGAATCAACAGACTGAATCAGTCATTAGCAGGTTTAGTTCAGTGTTTCACCTGCCTTACATGTTAAGTGTTTCCCTTCTGCCTCACCTGGATTGAATCTGTGGATGATTAACAACCTTCTGCACTTCTTGATGGCTGCAGACGGTCATGCAATCATCTAACTCAGCTGTTCTGGAACAGAGGCTCATTTAAGCACGACCCTAAGCATATCATAATAAAAAGTTAAAAACAAGTGATTATTATCACAACAACCTGGAGCAGCCAGCCTTACACTTCGTCGTCCACCACATGCTCTCCCAGACCAAACAATAGGCAATAGGGGTGCGGCAAAACAGCTGACATTGATTCAACGTTGATCAGACATTGATCAGACATCAGCATTTCAGTCATTAGATTTCAACCATAAACAACATTGATTCAATGACACAGTTTGAACATTAGTTACTTGGTTAGAGCTGGATGATTGTTTGATGGTTGATCTACCATCATTTGTCAACTTCAACCAAAAGTCAACGATTCTGACTATAATTCAACGTTGATGTAACATCGTGTGCTATGGGTAGTTTTCCATATATTCTTGGAAATTATACATATTCTTCCTTTTATAATTCATCTCCCCTCAGGATCTTAGTCTTGTTCTCTCACAGCCAACATGCATTGTTTTCATTTACCCACCTCAAGCATTTCCACAAAGTTTTGCCATGACCTGCCAGGTTATTTGCTTTTCACATGATTCCTGTTACGTCTTCAGTTTTTAGGTGTTTCTGCTTTTGCAAGTTTTCTTTGTTTTATATTTGAACACCTTGTTAACTGCCTGCCTGCTAGTCTGTACTTGTGTACCACTGAGAACAAAATTTGACATGTTTGTAAAGTATTTTCTAAAACTGCACATGGAAAAAATAAGAATCCAAGTCTCCCCACAGACTGCTCACCTTCCTGGTTAATGGGAACAATCCAAGGTGCAGCTTTTTTGCCATCTTTACATCACAAGCCAACATTTCCAGCTCCACATGGACCATTTCTGAAGAATCAACCCAAAAACATCTTCCCACATATGTTGTGAGCCAATTGCTGAAATGGTCAAATTATGGATTATGTCAAATTGTGACATAATCTATGCAACTGTTCATAAACATCATAGTGGCCAATATGGATGAAGTTACATCACAGAGTGATTTTAAATTTGATCAGAAGTGAGAACTTCACAGTATTTTGACTCTTGAGAATGTGGCAGAAATGTCCATCTTATTTTGTGCCTAATAAACAGGAAGGGGGAGTTCCTGCTTTCAAACCTTTTGATCCTTTGCTGTGGATATTTACAAGTCAGCAGAGGAACGACGACAGTGGAGGAATCTCCAGCAAACTGAGGTCCTCCCTGTGTTTGAATGAACATTTAAATGACTTTCTTGTGAAAATTATTTTAACAGAAAATTTCCCAAGAAGCAGCAGAAACTGAGTCTGTTAGCCAAGAGGAAGAGGAGGAAGAGGAGGAGCTGATCTGTCCCTGAACTCTAAAGAGACTCAAACTTCCTCCTTCAGCTCAGCTCTCCAACATTAACTCTGCTCAACATGCTGTCTCTGCTCACATCTGGATTCTCTCTGCTGGTTCTGATCACTGGATCAGGTTGGTTGGAGTCTTTCAGAGAATAATCTGATCCTTGTTGTTCTTCACTTATATCACTTTTTTCTTCCTTCGGCTGTAAACTGTCAACAACTCACTGCAGGGAAGACTGAGGAGTTCAGTTCAGAGGGCAGCTCTGCTACTGTGTCCTACAATTACTCTAAAGCTGCTGTTTATGATGATTATTTCTTCTGGTATCGACAATATCCTGGAGAACCTCCAGAGTTCCTGATCTCACACTCAGGAACAGGAGCTCCAATGTCAACGTCGCTTCCTGGTTTCTCCTTCAAAGTGAGTGAAGATAAAACCCGGATGGATCTGCTGATCTCCTCTGCTGCAGTGACAGACTCTGCTGTGTACTACTGCGCTGTGCAGCCCACAGTGACAGGAAACACCAGAACCCTGGACAAAAACCTGCAGTACTCAAGAGCAGCCACTAGAGGGCCTCACTCCCTGTTAAAACACTAAAACCTGCAGTACTCCACAGCAGCCACTAGAGGGTTGTTTGAAAGAACATTTGAGCATCTACAAACATACATGTTGGTTTTGGCAGTAATTAGTCTTTATGGATAAAGTATTAATAAAAGTGCTAATATATAGCTTATTATATTTGAATCACTTTTCATTAAGAATATTTTCAGAGTTAATTAACTATTGATTAATGGTTAAATAACGCTAAATAAGGTTAATTATAAGTTGCTATTGAATTTTTTCCAGTTTTCTGCTGCATCGCCTTGGAACCAGTTGCAGAAATACATGGACCTAAAGGGACTGTTGTCTCTAAATATTTTTCAGACTGTTCTTTGAGAAGGAAACATGTAAATTTATGACTTAACTTTTTCTGTTCTGCTGTGAGAATGTTCTGTAAATTGTGTGCTGCTGCCAGTCTTGGCCATAATTCTCTTGTAAAAGAGATTTTCAATCTCAGTGGGAAAAAATAAATAATTATCTTATGATTCTCTCCTGACTGCATGGGGCGCATTATAAATTACATTGGTGTAACTGCGTTCCTCTCTGTGGGTTTACATTCAGGAGCTCTACAACGCACAGTGACCCAGAACAGCAGCTCCTCATTGACCAGGCACCGGCCCAGGGCAGCCGCCCCCACAGAGGGGGGGATCTGTGTGATCTGTCCCGCTCCAGATCACCTGGAGACGTCACATCGTGTCCGGGGTCCACATGGAATCTCCCCCCAGATCACCTAGTAGATCCAGTAAACTTGATCTCTGCTCCATAGACCTCTGTTCACCTCTCATCTCCTTCATCAGCAGCCATTAACAAATCCTTTTTCTAAATAAATCTCAGTGGATTGGTGTTTTAGGACAAATCCACGGATCAGAGATCTGAACCGACAGAGCCTGGACCTGATCTGGGTTTCTACAGCTTTTATTTTATTCAGGAATGTCAGCTTGGAAACAGGATGGAAGTGGAAAATCAAGGCAGAATTAAGACTAAGGCTTCTTTAAGACTGGCTTCACTTCACACATTTTAAAATCACTCAGGAGTTAATTATTTCCAAAACTGATGAACCAATGCAGCTTAGAAGCTGAACAAATAAAGATGGTGGGGAAAAGGTCTCATCTTGCCAGCTAATGAGGTCAAGTCATTTAATGCAATCAGAACAAAGGACTGAGAGTCTCATCTTCACAGGTAGAGCAGCTTGGGCGCGATGCATACCTCAAAGGGTAGACAGGACAGATTAGTGATGGTCCGGCAACACCGATGCGTCGGCACATGCATCAAGCCCATAGACCAAAACGTGTTGGTGAGCATGTTGGTTTCAGCAAGTCACGTGACCAAAATGACATTAAAGCACCAAACTGTGTTTATAAGGAAGCCAATCTGTCAACAGGATGCATTTGCCAAAAGAATGTGTGATCTTTTTTGGTACAACGTCAACTATGGAGCAGCTTCAAAGGAAAGGTTTCCTCAGTCTAGGACCATTTTGATCTCATATTGGAAAATAAATTTGTTTTCATTTTGTTGTTGTTTCATCCGGTTGTTTTCAGTTTCTAATTGATCTATCTGAATCCAAATTCAGCTGAAATTGACTCTTGGTTTACTCTCATATCATGTTCTGTAGGTTAAATGTCTCATATGTCTTATTTAAATAAATCCAACTCCTCAATGTTGAGGCATCATGAGGCCAGGCATGAGAATGAAGTCCCAGATACACCTAGATAAACTCAGATATGCAGCCATTCTACAAATTACTCAGTTGCTTTTAATAAGTTATTTAATCTAAATGTATTGTTTACTTCATATTTAACCATCAAGCTTCTAGGAAGCAAATGCTGGATGAGGCTCTACTGAATTTCATAGTGATGGTTTGCCAGCCTCTCAGTATTGTGGAGAGTGAAGAGTTTCAGGAACTGGTTCAAGCCCTTAAACCTTCATATGGTTTGCCAACCAGAAAGGTTTGTGTGGAAATTATCTAAAGTAGCAGTTTAAATAAAAAAATAATTTAATCTTTAATTTTAATATATTGATTTTGTTTGGTTTCACTGGTATAATTTTCAGACCATCAAACAGATGGCCACAAAGTTTGAGGAGGAACAGGAACGAGTGAAAATGGAAGTACAGCAAGCTGTGGCAGTGAGCATAACGGCTGACATGTGGACCTCTGTGAACATGGAGGCTCATTTGGCTCTTACCTGTCACTACATCAATGAAAATCTGCAGTTGTGTACATCTGTGTTAGGAGTAAGTCACACTGCTGACAATTTGGCCCAAGTCATAATGGAGGACTGGGCCATAACCAATAACATAAGGTCTCTTGTGACTGATGCAGCACCAAACATGATCGCATCCGCTAGGCAGCTAGTAATTCGGCACTCGATTTGCATTGTACATACTCTCAATTTATTAGTTAGAAAATCATGTGATCAGATCCCCACACTTACATCCATCAGACAGAAATCTAGGCACATTGTCACACACTTCAGATCAAGCACTACAGCCAAAGAGAAGCTTGCTCAAGTGCAGCAACAGATGGGACGACCAATCCTGAAACTTATCAATGAGGCGCCAACACGCTGGATCAGCACATATGAAATGCTGTCAAGGCTACATGATGAGAGGGAACCAGTGTGGGTGTCTCTGGCCTCTCTAAAAGCAGATTTTACTCCACTTACAGCTGATGAGCATAACATAGGAGAAACTTTTTGTGCTTGCTCTTTTCCATCAAGCTACAGTGGAGTTGTCTGAAGAGAGGCGAGTGTCAGGATCCAAGGTCATCCCAATGATGAAAATGCTCTATCTTGCACTAGAGAGTAATGCATCAACCTTGCACCCCCAGCCAGCCATAACCTACATGAAAAACTGAAGCGTCGAGTCACAGACACTGCTTCCAATCTGGAGTCAAAAAGTGTGTTGGCCCTAGCAACACTTCTAGATCCCAGATTTAAATCACTTGGGTTCCGCAGTTCCTCCAAATGCAATGAGGCCATCAGTAGACTGCGGTCAGAATGTGCGTCTATTATCGAACACACAAATGAGCCCCAGCTGGGACTGTCTTCACAACAGCTGTCTGCACCCAACTCAGGCATGTTATTCAGCATTATTTGTTGTTTGTTTGGACAAGATGTACTAAAATGTCAATTTGTTGTTTTTAGATAACCTTTGGCACCATCTTGACACCGAAGTAGGCAAGCAGACCAAAAGTGCCACAGCTGATGCCATCCAGAAGGTGCAACGATATCTTGCATATGGCAACATTTCCAAATGTCAGAATCCAATGGCATACTGGCAGAACCACAAGACAATTTATCCTAACCTCTTCCAGTTGCCTTTGCAATACCTTTGCACTCCAGCCTCATCTGTGCCATGTGAGAGTGTTGTGTTCTGTGTTTTCTGTGTAGTTATTTTCGAGGTTTTCTGTCTTGTCCCTGTCCTGTCTTTCCAGGTGTGTCTCATTCCATGATTACCTTTCCTGTGTATTTAAGTCCATCTGTTGTCTTTGTCTCTTGTCGGATCCTTGTTGTTTGTCATTGTTCTTGCGTCCTGTTCGTCAGTCTGCGTTCCCTTCACAGTCGAACTGATAAGTCCTGTGTTGGTTTGCTCTCGTGATCAGTCTTCAGTCTCAGTAGCTACCGGTAATTAGCTGTTTGCTAAGTGCTCTGCCGTACCGCCTGTACTGGACTGTGTTTGAGCTATACTCTTCATCATCTTCATCTTCATCCTGGGTCCTCCCTGCGTTCTCCCTCACCTCACTAAAACACATTTCATGACAGAGAGGGTGTTTTCCACAGCAGGAGAAGTTGTGTCAAAAAAGCGTAGTAGACTGAATTTCAAAACGTTGGAAAAACTTTTTTTTAAATAAAATGTGTGAAAAAAAACTCCAGTCCACAAGCATCCTCATTCCAAACACATTCACTTAAATTTTTACTTTATTGTACATGTTCACATTATTTATTGACTGTATCTAAGAATATCAAATATTTTAAATTTAACTTAAGTTATGAAATAATACAATGTACAATAAAATACACTAACTTAAATCTTATTGTCATAAAATTCTAAGTCATCAAATTAGTCTGTCAACTATACTGCCTGTAGGGACTTTTAATGTCCAGCAGGTGTCAGTATTCAGTGATACAGTATCGACACAGGATCAATACAGTTTTGCTGAGTCGAAACGCTTCATGACACCTCATTTACCCACCACTAGGACAGATTACCGCCCCACCTGGTGAGCTAAACCCAGGGACTGATGGACGTCCCAGGAAACCCTGTGGCTCATGGCTGACCCTGCATCTGACCCTACATCTGACCCTACATCTGACCCTACATCTGACCCTGAATCTGACCCTGCATCTGACCCTACATCTGACCCTACATCTGACCCTGCACCTGACCCTACATCTGACCCTACATCTGACCCTGCACCTGACCCTACATC